AAGCCCCACCTGATGCCCAGACCCCTGGTGCAATGCAGCTGCTCTGAGATATGCTGAAACACCACAGCTCAGGAATCAGTTCTTATTTTCCTTCAAGTAGCAGCACCGATTTCCTTACTTTCAACTGTCATGAGCTGAACTCATTTTTCAATGAAGCCTAACATCTGTGCTTCCTTCCTTCCAGCAGGAAAATGTTATTTCCCCAGAACTTATTTCTTCAGTCAAAGGTGTCTGCCAGTTCTCAAGAGAGCTGTATTTACAAAGATGCCCTATAAGCAACTGGGAAAAACTCTTTGGGGTTCTGAGGACCCTTAGAGGAAAGGCTGATGGAAAAGAGGAAGGGAGTGAATGCCTCTTGAATCCCGGCTCTGGGCTAGGCACTGTACCTACTCCTTGGCAAATTTCTTTTAGCCTTATCAGCAGGTCTCTGATTTAGACACATTTATATGCATTTTTCCCATGAGAAAACAGGCTCAGAAGGGCTAAAGAGCTTGCTCAAATTGCATCACTGTTGTCTTAGTCCATTTTGTCCTGCTATAACTGAATTCCAAAGACTAGGTACTTTATAAACAACAGAAATTTATTTCTCGCAGTTCAGGAGGCTGGAAAGTTCAACATCATGGTGCTGGTAGGTTTGGTGTCTGATAAAGGCTATCTCCATTCACAGATGATGCCCTGAACACTGCATCCTCTGTAGGGGAGAAACACTATTCTTCACATAGCAGAAGCATAAGGGAAGAGCTCTCATGACATGAACACCTCCCGTTAGGCCCCACCTCCCAACACTGTTGCCTTGGGAATTAAGTTTCAACATGAGTTTTGGAGGGGACAAAAATGTTTAAACCATAGCAACTTATTACATGGTGAATCCTGGATTCTAGCCCAGTTGGATGGATGATGGGGCCCATTCCATATTCACTACAGAAACTGCTCTGAGAGAGTGAGGCTGTTAATATGCTCCTTCAGACTGGTTACACAGAGCACCCTATAGTTCAGGCCACGAGCAGGAACTCTGAGGCTGCAGGGCCTGGGTTCAAATTCCAGCTCTGTTACTTGTGCATGACCTTGGACAAGTTACTTAATTTCATGGTGTGCCTGTTTCATCACCTTTAAGATAGGGATAGTTGTTTGGAGCAAATTAGTTAATCCTGGCACAATATAAGTATTCAACAACTGTTGGCTATCATTATCCATTTATATCCCACTGGGTTTGCAGCGTAAAAAAAAAATGCTGTTTTCTTGCCCAAATAATGGTGTTTTTATGTTGCCTATCACTTGGAAATCATTCATGTGGGACGGTAGACCCAGTAGTGGGGTCATCTTTGGAATGACCTGAACAGTTTTTTAAAATATTGATGCTTGTGTCCTACTCCTAGAGATTCTGATTCAGTTGGTCTCCTAGGCATGTAGGAGAAGGAACATTTTAAATGCTATTTAATGCCCTTAGTGGTTCCCAAAGTGTATCCCTGGACCAGCAGTCTTAGTATCACCTAGGAGCTTGTTTGCTGGAAACACAAATTCCCAGGCCCCACCCCAGACCTAGTGAATCAGATACTTTGGGAATGCAGCCCAGCAAAATAAGCCCTCTGCATCATTTGATGTCCATGAAAGTCTGCAAATCATTGCTCTAAGGGAAGGCAGTGACCTACAAGACTGCCTCATCCTAAACACAAGGCCCAAAGACTGATGCCAACCTACAGGGCTTATCTGTTCATTTACATAGGGCAGTGTAACTCTAGTATACTGGTCTCCCCTAGGGCCATAATATGTCATGACTTTTTCAGTCCATCCTCTCCTAGCCCCAAGGAAAGCTGGGTGTTCATCAGCAGTTTCTTTATTAAATGTTAAAAGATATCAGCTGTCCTTTGCCTTGGTTATGCTCCTTTTTCTCTGCTCCCACTATTCTGCCTATTTTCCCATAATCAACACAATCTTTCTCTGGTATTAATATACTTAAGGAGGTTTTAATTGATTTTTCCAGGCTATAGAGACACTCTGCATCTTCTAGGTGACTTTGGGTAACCGCTCTGATCCCTGATGTGAGGCTCTGGCACTCTCAGAGGCAGGGGTATCTCTTTTCCCCTCTTTCTTACAGAGAAACTCTCCATAGCGTCACGTGCTTCAGCACCTGAGCCTTGTTCCTGCTTCCTTATCCATCATTATTCTCTTTTGAAAATAAAGAAATTTTGCATTAAACATTTGCCTTCCATGTTTATCCAAATTATGTGGAACTTTTGATCAGAAGATGCTTCCCTAAGCTCACACAATCTATCTTTCATCTGATTAAAGAGAAACACTATTGTAGCTTCTAGTGGAACAAATGCCATCTCTGTGCCTTTGCATTTTAACTTCTTACAGAAAAAACACTAATGTTTTCCTCATTGGGCCACATGTAACTACCTTCTAGGAAATCTAAACTAAAACTTTACGAATTCTTTTTATAATGTACTTATAAATAACTTTGCATCAGCTTTCAGCAACTGAACAAGCAGCAGAATTATGAAAACAAGGGCAAAAGAACAGCAGTAGAGCATGAAAGTGGGAGAGGAAGCAGAGGAGAGATGATGTGAGTGAGTCAGCAAGGAGGGAAGGTAGGTTCTGAAATCTAGGCTAGGAGAAGCTATGCAGGCAAGTGTTACACTCAGCCTTGGTGATCGAAGCAAAAAAAGAAACACAACAAATATCATTGCTCTATAGCAGGCTGTTAAGGGAGGCTTTTCCTATTGCTGCAGAGTTTCAGCTGATTCCTCAAAACCAAAAACAAGGGGTGTTATGTGCCCACTACACATTTTATGCAGGGGTGCTAGATCATCCACACTGACCTTGCTAAGCAGTGACCCTAAGCCCATCACCTACCTCAGGTGTGTGCAGCAGAGGGGAGGAGGTGAATGAGGAGGACTAGAGAGGGGGAACTTATTTCAAGAGAGTTGTCAGTATGCTGAGAACATGAATCATCCACTTCAAGTGAAGAGAGCCACTCAGAGAAGGTAGGATGTCTCCCAGAAGGAGAGACTGACAGCTTGCTTCCTGGCTGGATTTTTCAGAGCCCTAGAAACAGTTCAGCCTTAAGCCATCACAGGACTGAGACAGAATGTGAGGAGAGTAAAGGCTGAAAAACAACCTATTGGGTACTATGTTCATTGCCTGGGTGACAGATTCATTCCTACTTCAAACCTCAGGAATGTATCACACAATATACCTTTGTAACAAGGCCGGGTGCGGTGGCTCACGCCTGTAATCCCAGCACTTTGGGAGGCCGAGGCAGGCGGATCACCAGCTCAGGAGTTCAAGACCAGCCTGAGCAACGTGGTGAAACTCCGTCTCTACTAAAAATACAAAAATTAGCCGAGCGTGGTGGCACATGCCTGTAATCCCAGCTACTCAGGAGGCTGAGGCAGGAGAATCACTTGAATCCGGGAAGCAGAGGTTGCAGTGAGCCGAGATCGCGCCACTGCACTCCAAGTTGGGTGACAGAGTGAGACTCTGTCTCAAAAAAAAGAAAAAAAAGTCTGCACATGTACCCCTGATTCTAAAATAAAAGTTGGAAAAAAAAAAAAAAAAGAATGTAGGCAGAGGGTTTTTAGGAGGACTAAGAACTCTCTGTCCTAAACTCCCTGTGTCCCAAGAGTTTGGGAAAACAAAGACTGGAGGCTGAGTTTTATGATGCCTGTGATGTAATCTGATATCTTTGACATAGGCAGGGTGATACTGTGTGTGTTTGCTAAGCTGTATACTCTTACCCACACTCCAGAGGCAGCTACCATGAGGATATATAAAGTTATCTTTACCTTTGAGCAACACCAGAAGTTTTGCTAATTAGCATAAATGAATACTTAAAATGGGTTTCATGTTGTGAAATTAGCAGTTCAAAATATTTGAAAGACTCTCCTCATACTTGCATGAATTGGGCAGAGATTTAGGGGAGACTGTAGCATAAGCCCTTAAAGCCACCTAAGGCTCGGTCCTTAAGTGGTTCTATAACCAGCAACTGGTTCAAAGGAATCTGGCTGTCTGATGCTAACCCTCCAGTTTATTTGAATCTTGCCTCTATAATATCATCATATTCACCCTCAATTAACCTTTCATGCAAAGGAAAGGATCTTTCATGATAACCCAATAGCAGAATTATGGAGGAATAACCAACCCTCATCTTCCCTCTACATAGTAGCGGCTGCTATTATCTACCACAAAAAATCCAATGGTCGTGGCTGGCCAAAACAGCTTAGGACAGTTCATCACACTGAAGCTCACCTGAAAAAAAACTCGAAGGTGAATGATGGCTGGAGCTACCTGGGATGGAGGAGTGAAGAGAGGGGCTGATTGCATGTGGTGAGCACCCCTAGAGCTGAGCAGAGCAGAGAGAGGAGCATAGCTTTGGGGCAGTCATCTCAAAGGAGACCCCACCCAAGAAGACTAGCTGCAGGAGTGAGATGGCACCAACAGAAAGCTGGTTCTTGCAGGGGGACTACTGATGTAGGAACCGAGGGGAGAGTTGTTAGGGGACCGCCAGTGATTAGCTTGCCTTGCCAGAGAACTTTGTGGTTGGATGTCTCCGAAAGGCTCCTGGAGTGAAGAGCCACACACTGAGTCAATGAAGTCTTAGCTGCCCCTTACCTCTCCTCCCTCCCATTTACCCTCTGCCACCCTCGAAGCAGCCAGAGGCAGCAGAGTGAGGGGCAGAGCAGTGGAAGAATAAGGAGGGAAACTAGTCAGGAAGCTGACCACCTTGCTCCCCAGCACCCGCTCTCCATTTCTATAGGCTTTGGGGCCTTATCAGGCCCAAATTAGGGCAGAAAAAAAGCTTTATATTGGATTTACATTGAAGCTTTGATGGGAGACTGGACTGAACTTTCCAGACCAAAAAATTAGGTGTTTAGTAAAACCTGAAAGTGACCAGAAAAGCTTTGGAATATGCCTGGCATTTCATTCAGGAAAGTGGAAGAATAATTAAACAGAGTGAGCTTTAAAAGATGGCAATGAGAGAGAATTCAGCTGCTTACTTTTCGTATCCAACCGAGTTCAACTTGATCGATCTTCTACAGGTTTCATTATTGAATGAAAGGGACTCAGTGTCTTTCCTGTAATTTTTCAAATTATTTATTCTTATATCTCATTCAGTAAAAATCAGGGGATGGGGGTGACAGTTTTCAAGCGTATTCTTTAAAACCACAAACTAGAGAGCAGTGGGGTTGGGAGATGCAAGGATATGTATGGGTTCCCATTAGTGCTAAAACAAATCATATAACAAAGCTTGGCAGGTCAGGATGGGTTTCAGTGGGCTAACATCAAGGTGTAGGCAGGGTTGCATTCCTTCTGGAGGCTCTAGGGCAGAATCTGTTTCCTTACTTTCCAGCTTCCAAAGGCTGCCTGCATTTGTCAGCTCATGGTCCCTTCCCTGCCAGCAGCAGGGTAGCATCTTCAAATTCCTCTCTGACCCTGGCTCTCCTGCCTCCTCCTTTCACATAGAAGGACCCTTGTGATGACATTGGATTCCCCCAGTAATCCAGATAATCCAGAATAATCTTTTCATCTCAAGATACTTAATCACATTTGCAAAGTCCTTTTTGCTGTACAGAGTAACACTGTATATTCACAAGTTTGAGAGATTGGGGAATGGACGTCCTTGGAGGACCAGTCCTCTGCCTATTACAGGAGAAGCCCAGGTGCATGAGCTGGACCTGTGATTCACCTCTCAGAGAACACCCTCCCCCTTGTCTGTGGGTCAGCCAGGAATAATGGTGACAGAGAGGAAAGAGGCTCTGCGTAATCTTGGGGAAAGTACACAATCTGCCAGTACTTCAGTTTCTTCATCTGTGAAATTATAGCCTTAGCTGTCCCTAAAGTCCCTTCCAAATCTAAGCCCTATGCTCCTTTTGTCTTTTGGCAAAATAAGCATTTGAAGAAATCTGGCTATCTCAAGAACCCCAACCGATCTTCTAATGCACACTGCCAGGCCTCCACCACCCCGGGGCCAAGAGGGCTCTGACAGCTGAACTGTGGAAGTCTCTGGGTGAAGCAAGCAGCCCTTTGCTTTCTGCAAGGGACGAAGAGGGACAAGGAAGGCACTGGTGGGAGGCTTGGGGTGAGAGGTCTCTCCACCAGGGCAATGAGTTATCCTGTCCCTTTCTACTGAGTCACCACTGAAGGCCTTGGGCAATTGTGCCAGCCAGGATCACAGAAGTGGCTGCTGACTCAAAGCTAACAGAGTGGTCCAGGGAAGCCCCAGTGGAATGAGTCATGGCCAGGCCCTCACAGCCCTGCTCTTCTCAAGTTAGCATCGACTCCCTGTGATCTCTCCGGAGCCTCAGACTCTCAGAAGAGCAGGTCTCAGAACACTGGAGAGGAAAGGAACCTGAGACACCATGTCATAAACCCTGCCCACCAACCTCCCTATCATGTGACTTCTTGGGCTGGTTGTGTTTTTGTTTTCCAGCTACTCTGATAAATCACATTGTTTGGATGGCTGAGCTCTGTCTCTGGTCTGACCTTAAAATTGAGGTTCACTTTGCCCCTCAACCCCATGGGTCCAGCTCTCAGGACTTCTCCAGGCTACCTTTATCTTCCATTTTTTAGGGAGTGTCATCTACCAGCAAGAGCTCTGAGCCATAAATCAGGAAACCAGGGCTTCCTGCTTCTGTCCTCTGAGCAGACAGAAATGGAACATTCACCAAGTCACATCCTCTCTTTAGGACTCATCAGGGTTTGACTGTGTTTTCCCCAGAGTCCCTTCTAGTACCAACAGGAGAGGATCAGGTAATCCTAAAAGTCCCCTTCAATTCTGAAGTCAGTCATCCTCTATCAGAGTTCCTGAACACAGCCAGGCTGGCTCTGCCGGGGATAGCTGTGGCTTGTGACTGCCGTGCCTCTCCTCCTCCCAGGAAGGTACAGAATCCACAGCCTCAGGAATGCCAGGCATTCTGCCAAGGGCGCCCTTCCTTTTCTCGATCTGGTTTCTCAGTCTCTCTCTTCCCAATCTAGACTAGACTGTCACTTCCACTCACCAATCCCGTGGAGGGATCAGGGATGGGACTGAGGAGAGTCAGAAATTGAACTGCGACTCTACTCCTCATCCATGTGGCAGGCCTGTCATTCCTCCTCCAGTCGGGCCTCAGGTCTAACCAGACCAGCACTCAGGTCACTCTGCGCATGAGTGGGGAGGGATTCCTGCCTATCCAGTGACCCTGCTCAGTGGGTGGATGTCACCTCTGTCCCTGGAGCACCCGAAGCACCCAGGGGCCCCCACCTACCTGTTTCACTTCTCCAGGGCCTCTGCGTAAGGCCACCTCCCCCACCTCAGGCGTGATCCCAGTTTGCCAAGGAACGCTTATCTCAGGATGTTTTTGGCACCTTCTGGGCCGCAAAGGTGCTTCCTGTAAGAGAACAAACCGCACCAGGTTGCCTTTTGACACATCTATTTCAGGGTCAGTTGGCATCTTATGTTCCCCCTAAAAAACTGAACAATCTTTTTTCTCTCATCCAGTAAGAAAAGTCTTCTTTTTATTTTTCACATGGGTTTATGCACCCCCCTCATCTTTTCAGAAGGAGGCTCAATGCAAGTATCTGTGTTATAAACTAGCTTCCGACACTGGCCCTGCCCTTGAGTGGACTCAGCCTTCCTAAGACGGGGCTCCTTTTCTCCTGGGCATGTGCTCGGTTGCTGGAGAGAAAGGCCTATTGTTCTTGATGTGCCCAGTACACTCTGCCAGGCAACATGCTGGGTGTTCCTCCCAGGAGGTAGAAAACCACCTCCCCAAGATCGGATCATTTTATACCTTGTGTTTTGTTTGGTTTTGTTTCCGGCCTTTCCTTCTTTGCTGTACCTCCTTCCCGAGCGCTCAGAGCCCATACAGCACTTATTTCTTTCTGTTCCCTTTGCACAGTGAATTGCCTTTTGTATGCCTTTGATGTGATTGCTCAGCTTCCAAGGGAGGGGAATGAGTGTCTCGTCTCTCCCACCTAGAGGCTCGTGCTGCGTGTGGTCAGAAAGAGAGCGAACAAAGGCGTGCTTGGCCCTGAGGGAGGCTGGGGTTGGGCCCAGGCGTGGAATGTAGGGTCTCTTCTACCCCGAGGCGGAAAGTCGAGCAGTGCTTTGGGGTCTGCGTGGCTCTCCAGCGATGACTTGGGGTGCTCATGAAAGGGCTAAGCTGGGCAACAATATGAGGAGAGGTTTTGCCTCTTGGTCCCTGTCCCATCTGCTTAGAGTATCCGGGTTGTCTGGGGCTCCGAGGGAGGAGCACTACAGCAGGAGCCAGGAGTTCGCCTGCCTCTGCCACCGTGTGACCCCGCATGACACTGACCCTCCCAGGGGGAGCCTCCCTTTCCTGGCCCTTGAGTGGGGCAATAACTCCTGCCCCACCCGCTGGCTTTCTGGGTCTCATGTGGTGAGGAGCAAACAGGACACTCTCTGAGGAAACGCCGTGAGAAGCAAGAGCCCTTTGTGAGTCAGAGGTGGTGGCTCTTGCTGGCTTTCCCACTGTTTACCAACCGCCCCCAACCCAATTTCCCGTGAGCATCTAGTGACCTCATGCTACCCCCTTGTGGCCAAAATGCGACTCCTCATTCATTGCTGTGAAATTACATTGCTATTAAAATCGTAAGAAAAAATAATGAAAGTAATTTAATAATAATGAATATATAGTAATTAACCCAGACCAGAATGCTTTACTTTTCATCAATAAAGCCATAAAATATAATTTTTAATACCTTTTGGTGTAGGAAATGGCGCATGAAGAAAAAAGTGCTTAATGTGGGCCCAGACCCAAGGTGAGCGTGGGGCTGAGGGCGCCCTTCCCCGCCGCTACCCAGCTGCTGGCGGTGCCAGGGAGGCCTGCCCGAGGCCAGACGGTGGCCACTTGCCGAGGCGCCCCTGAAAGGGCCTATATGTCCCCAAGATGAGGGGGCCAGGATGAGGGACAGGTGAGAAAGCACTTGGCCGCTCTTCCTCAGCTCTTTAAGATCTTTTCAGGTCCTTCAGGATTACAAAACACTTTAATGGCGATCTTTTTGTTTACTGAGATAGAACCGGTTGTCTGGAGGGAAATTAGAGCTCCTACATATTGAAAAATAAGTGACCAATAACTGCCTTGTTTCCTCGTTACAATCTCCTTCCTCAGACACAACCTCACTGACCACTCACCACAGCCCTGAAGCAGAACTGTCCTCATTTTCAGACGAGGAACTAAGAGGAACCTGGAGTCTGAGAGATCATATGCTGGTCAGATGGAGCAACAGCTCGAACCCAGGGATTCTGATTTCAAACCCCTCACTTTTTTCTTTTCTTTTTTTGGGGGGAGGATTTGGGGGGACAGGGTCTCTCACTCTGTCACCCAGGCTGGAATACAGTGGTGTGAGCACAGGTCACTGCAGCCTCACACTTCTGGGCTCAAGCAATCCTACCACCTCAGCCTCCAGAGTAGCTGGGACCGCAGGCATGCACCACCACACCCAGCTAATTTTTGTATTTTTAGTACAGACGGGGTTTCACTATGTTGCCCAGGTTGGGGTCGAATTCCTGAGCTCAATCAATCTGCCTGCTTTGGCCTCCCAAAGTTCTGGGATTACAGGCATGAGCCACTATACCTGGCTCCCCTCACTCCTTTTACTATGTCAAGGGCTTGGAGTTACTGGGTGAATCCCAGCCCTGCAAAATGAGAACAGTCTATATGGAGAGGAGGAAATGCTGCAAAAAATGTACCAAGACTTTTCCTTCCACACCTGTGGAATAAATCTAGTCAACAGTCATCCTCTAGTCATGATGAATAATCCGGAAACTCATGCCTTTGACCTGGATAAGTGCTTTCCTTCTCCCTTCTCCTCTGGCAGAGATTCCTTCAGAATACTCACCTCTCCAGATGTCTTCTTTACTTTCCTGACAGCCTATGCCCAGGTTTCTGAGGAGTTTCCTTTCAGACGTGGCTTCCTGGTGTTGTAACTGGGATGCAGTCTTGCCCTCTGTGTCCCTCCAGCCGCATGTCCTCCCTCTCTTTCTGAGAAGGCAGGATCATGGACATCTAGAGGCCTACTGCAGAAGTGAGAATTTTGTTGACTTAGTGCCAAGTATTGTCCTGCTTTGATGAAACCAATGAGCACAACACTGAAGAGCTTGTGAGGGTCTGACAGTGCAGGAAGGTGCAGGTGGACAGGCACAGAAACCTAGAGCACCCCGGAAGGCAGTTGGACACCCCCTCTAAAATGCTGCTGGTTGCAGTACCAGGCATCCAAAGAAGGGTTTCCAACACTCACAGTGCAATGAAGTGACACACAGGCTCACTTTCTTAGCAATGAGGACCTGAGCCAGTGTGCAGAAAGCCTTCTTCCAGATCTTCCATGACTGGGGTACACTAAGTGAGATCATATTTGGGTTCTTACACTGTCTAGGAAAGCTCATAGTTCATAAACATCTCTTGTGTCCCAGTCCCTGGCATTTTTTTATACATCCTCTCATAAACATCAGGAAAACCCTCTGAGGTAAGGATTATTTGCCCTGTTTTGCATATTAGTAAACTGAGGTTCAGAGAGGTTAACAGACTTGCTCAAGATCACGAAGCTAATTAGGAGATTCAGGGCATGATGTAAACTCCAGAAAATGTTACACCCTTGAAACTATGGTTTGCCTGACCAAGGACACCTCTGGCCACTTCTCTGCTTTAGGGCAGAAGGGAGTTCCTTGCATCACATTAGATGAGTGCATATGATCTTTCCATTGATTGCAATTATACATTGAGTGATCAGGTAACTTGGTTACGCATGGATATGCCTGCACCAGAATTGGCCATTGTGCCGGTTTCCTGCCCCCTTCATCCACCACACACAAAGGCCAAGTCATGATTGTGTCAGTCCCTGTGGCCTCATTCGTCTGTCTGCCACAGATGTCTGAGCAGCTGTGGGGCAACTGACCAAGAACAGAGAGAACGTGGGCTTTGGAGCCAGGCAGGCTTGGATTTAAATTCTACCTCTGCCATATTTTCAGGACAAACTACCCAGATTCTAGGATGGGGATGGGAACAAGGAAAGGTGGAGAGGAAGTTAGGGTCAGAATCATGGGACCTCATCCTAGTTCTGAGAAGAGGAGGGGGCAGGCGCCAGGGCCACTGCCCTACGCCACCAGCCCTCTCCAGAACAGTCGGGGCCCACTGCTGGTCACTGGCAACCCTCTGCTCAGGGGACACACTTTCAGGGGGTCAAAGAAGACTCGGGTGGTCTCCCAAATTCTTTCTCACACTGGTCTAAAGCTCTTTTAAGGCTCTTTTAAGCTAAATGTAAACATCCCTGGAAAGTTTACAGTGTGAGGGAAGCAGCATGGAGCTCAGGGGAGCACTTGCTGTGGAGCACGGTGGAATCCAATCTGTACACACGAGCAATAAGCCTCTGTCTTCTCATTTCCGACATATAACAGCTAATACTATAATAAGAATGGCTAACATTTCCCCCTAGCTGTTCTAAATGCTTTTCATACATAAGTTAACTCCTTAAATGCTCACAGCAGCCCAATTCCCATTTTGCTGGTGCAGTGGGCACATAAGTCCAATCCTCTGCCCAGGGTCACATAGCTGGACCTTGAAGCGAGGCAGTCAGGCAGCAGTGTCCCTGTGTGTCACCTCCACACCGTTCTGGTACTCAGGAGAATAATGAGGCCCTCCTCTTAGGTATGAAGGCAGGATTAAGTGAGACATGCATCTAAAGCTTCTGGCACAAAGCAAGGACTCAATTAATGCTCCTTGCTTTCCCTGGCCTTTTTCATTTGTGAGGAGACAGCTCCAGCCCACCTCTCTCAGCAAAGGTCTGCCTCACACATATAAATGCTCACTCAATGTCTGAAGAATGAATGAAAGGGCAGAGTTTGATAAGGTGAGTGGCAGGAGGTGAGGGGAGCATGAGGATAAGAGGTGTTGATAGGATGCTGTCGGAGGGCTGTGGCTAAGTGCGGTGGTTTTCCTGGATGCTGAGGTGCCACTCTGCTGCCTGGGAGCCCTGGGGGGCTTTCAGTCCATGATACAGGCTTTGGTGCCTTCCTGCCCCTTAGAACATGGTGTAAATGTCAGAGCTCACCCAAAGGCCTGGAGTCTCATGAAGACCAGCGCTAGACTCGGCAGAGTGGTTCATGGCGTGTGTGTGTGTGTGTGTGTGTGTGTGTGTGATGAGAAACAGCACAGAGGTGAGAGAGGCATTACCCTGACAGCCCCCTCTAGAGCAGAGAAAGGTTTGAGGCTACTCCTTGGTGGTGGCAGTGGTGTGGGGGTGGAGGGTGGGATGCAGGGGCCTAGTGTGGGGAAATAGGGCTGTTCTGTTCCAGGCCTAAGATAGCCCAGAGCCACAACCAAGTAGTGGCTGTCCCACCCCTACCCTGGCCGGCGTCAACCACTGGCAAATGGAAAGTGTCTCTTAGAATCCAGAAAGAGGTCTCTGTAGGGCCAGATAGATCCCAGGCCTCTGATGGAAGGTCTCCAAGCCATACTGGCCCAATTCAGTCATAATCTGGCTTCACCAACACAGGCTGTATGGGCAATGATTACTGAGGTGCATTCATTTCTGTTTATCAAGATTTCATGGGCCAAGGCCAGGTGTACCCGGGCCAAAACAAGCAGACCTTGACCGGGCAACAAAGCAGTACATTGGTTTCACCATGTTCTCTCTGAATGTCCCTCAGCTCAACTGATACAGCACGATAGGGATGATCTATAGTGACTAACACGGACTGCCACACCCTGCTCATGCTTTAACTATTTCTGTTTGTATGTACAACCTTCATATCTGATGCAAAGTGAAACAAGGTGGTTTTTGCCCACAAAGTGGAGTTGCTGAATGTCAGTTGTTTGTATGTCTGGGAGTGGTTATTTAAAAATCCTACCCACTGCTTCAGTTTGCTCTGCTCTTTGTAAGTACAGTCACAACCCAAGACTCCAGGAGAGATTAATCCGGTGTCCTTGTTCTGTTTCATTCCATGTGACCAGTTGAACTGGGCCTTTCTTGTTCGAGATTTGCAAAGGATAGTCAAGATCCCACTTCAATCACTGGCATTTCAAAAGGGTTCTTGAAATGACAAAATGGTTCCTTTGCACCGTCGACATTTTCATCATCAATGAATATTTATGAAGTGCCCACATGGAGCTTGCTTGCCAGTTCCGAACCCAGATAAGAGGGAAGGTTCTTTATTCTGTTGCAGAGGGGCATTTAGTCAGTAAACGGCATTTCTTTTAACTTCTGAAAGCCTTCCTTTTTTCTGGGGAAAAAAATGTCATTTTGCTTTTGCAAATGAGAGAGTAAAGCTTTTTGCTATTGCATAGTATTTCCTCAATTATTATTTGGGTTTCCAGACAGCATTTGTTTTCTGAAACCCTCAAATTACCTTATTTCTTTGTGCTAAAAATACTTGTCAAACATTGGTTGAACTCATGACTTGTGGCACTCGTGAATTCAAAAGATGGTTTCATTTTTTCCAAACCACTCTCTCCCTTTCATCCACTCCATCCCAGAACAAATCATTCTGATAATGTATTGCTGGAATGACTCACAAGGGGAATCCATCACTGACTGGATTTGTCCAGGGTCTTGCACTGACCTCCCATGGTGAGGAGAGCAGCATGCTGTCTCCCACACTTGCAGGCTGTTATCCTGATGGGAATGAGAGCTGTTGGGCTGGTCTTCAGGAGCAGGAGGTAAGAACAGCCTGTGGGGTCCTGAATAGTCCCAGCGTCCTTGGGTACTAAATGCTATGTTACGTACTCAGCAGTACATACAGTTATGTACTCCCCAGTTATGTACAGCCAGTGTAAAAAGGTTCCTGGCTGCATACTTGGCTTTTGCTTTCTGTTTGAGACACAGTGAGCCAGATTACTTCAACAAAGTCATTCCCTGAGAATTAGATGCTCAGAAAAGTACATTAACTTTTCATGTCTTGGCAAAAACTTTTAGCCACAGCAGGAGCTCCCTGAGTGAGGGGCTGGGTTTCTTTTACCTCAGTATTCTTGGAATCTGGCCCAGTGCCTGACACATAGTAAATACTCCATAAATACTTGTTAACTGACTTCAGTTAATAATTGTCATCGACAGTCATTGACTGAGCACCTACCGTTTTGGGTCCCTGGTTAAGACTAAGGATACAAGGAGGTATAATGAACAGTTCTGACTCTAATTGGAGTCTAGTTGGAGAATCAGGCCAAGCACAATAAATGACACTTGCCAGCATAGAGTGATGTGTTTTAATTGCTCAAGGAATAACACAGGCCATAAGGGGCACTATTGTTTAGGAAAAAGGAGAGATCCACCTAGGACAAGTTACCAGGGTCAGCCTTTCTGATTGCTAGGAATTGGGCTATGCCTTTAAGGAAGAGATAATAGCAAGATGTATCAAGTACCTCCTACCCTGTGCTAATGCCTCTTTACATACGTTACCAATTCTCACAACAATCACACAAGGGAAATGTTTATCATTGTCAACCCACAGATGAAGAAACTCAGGCTCAGAGAGGCTAAGCAATTCTGTCCAAGGCCACATGGCCACTGAGTAGGAGAACTAGACTTCTAATGCAGGCCAGTTGAATTCCAGAACCCATGCCTCTTTCACCACCCCCGGCTAAGGAGGAAAGACCTCAAACTTTATCAGGTACCTTGGGGCTTAATTTGAAGCAGCTTTCAAAGCAAGCTGACACTGCTTCTAGGAAGCAATAGTCAAGCAGGGAAAAGCTGACACCCTCAGGTTCTCTCAGCACCACACTGAATGGGGTGGCAGGTGGAGTCACAGGGTTACTGGAGTTGATCTCTGGACCTGGACAGCTTGCAACCACAAGGAACAGGCTGGGTGCAGGTGTGGGTATGTGCATGACTCTGCTGGACAATTTCCCAGTAGCACACACCTGGCAAGCAGCAACTACTGCCAAGCTCTAAAAGACTTTTGATGATTTCAAACCTCATTATGTGGATGCTTTATAAGGAGACCAGTGAGCTCAGGCTTGCATATGGAAAGATGAGATTAAAATGGGACTCTAGCAAGGCCATGCAGGTTGATACATAGTAGAGTGGTTAAGTATACAGACTCT